ACTGTGAATTCACAAATATTAATGGACTGAAAACACCAACACAAAAGCATAATAGCACAAACACATTAAAAACTGGACAAAAGTTCTAGTGGCTTGTAATATTGTTCCAATGGTATATATAATATATATCATACACAAAGATAATTCATGTGCAAAGGTAAAAACACACATATGTACATACAAGTTATGGATATTTATATCCATACACACATGTATGAATTTTATCTGCATGAATATGTGTGCATGTGTATACTACCTACATATAACACAGATACCCACCATTCTGTAAACTCTGCACTTAGGTCTGTCTTCTCCAAATCTGACATATCGTAAAATTTTCCTTAAAATCAAGTTTAATTGACAGTAACCTTTTAGGAGGACTTACTTGGAATAAACCATTTCCTGTACTGGTGATTAAATTATGGAAAGTACAATGAATTCTTTTAGAATATTAATGCTAAGAGCACCTTTCAAGGTCACTAAATCTACTCTCTACAATTTTTAATAAGGAGACACCAACAAATGAGGAGAAATCACTTTTCCAGTTCTCACATCAGCGAGGCTAGGATTAAAACACAAATTGCCCAACATTCTGTTCTGTGCTCTTTTCATAAGTCAAAAATGCCCTAAAAGCATTCTATTGTTTTCTTGCTCTCCATTAGCACCATTAAGGGATTCTTCTCAGGCTGTACTAAGTGCAAAGCCACCTGTAACGTCTGCTTTGCTTTGATTTTTACCTGAAAACTCTGAATGTTGATGTAAGAACTTAGGAGTTAGAGGGATGGATATAGTTTAATCTGTAGATAACTTGGAAATGACTATAATAAAAATTGTTCTATATTTTTCAAGCTTACAAACATGACGTTAAGTACCTGAGATGAGGGAAAATGTGGAATAATGGGAGGAAATCTAGCATGTCCTTTAAATCAATCATAAGGAACATTTCTCATCACACTGTTTTCTGTCATCCTAAGTGGGTGTGGGTCTTGTTGTAGTGGTGTGTTGTTTAGTAAAATGAGCAAACTTACCTTCAGCTAAAATGAATTTATGCCCCGATTATTTTTTTAAATTTTATAATGGATGTGTGAAAAATAAAATAAAATAAAAACTGTATTCATAAACTCATAATACTCCTGACAACAGATCTACTGGCAAGGCTGCTCCATAATGTTAAGATGGGAGATGAGAGGGAGGAGGAGGAAGAAGGAGGAGGAAGAGGAGAAGAGGAAGAGGAAGAAAGAGTAACAGGAAAGAGGAGGTGGAGGAATGGAAGGAGGAGGAGGAAGGGAAATTCACATCACCCAGGTCTTTGCTTGGAAAGAATGTGTGTAGTGACATCAGTGATGGTGACAGACTGCTGATGATATCATTCTAAACCTCTGTATTGCCTGAGAAGCAGAATAACCAGCCATACAGTCACCCTGAATTTATCCCCATGAGGACGCTCAGGCAGAATATTTTCTGCCTATGGAAACAAGAACTAGCAGTGAGGAAAGGGAAACTCTTTCTTCCAGGAGTGCCCTTTGTTTTTCTCTCTCCTTTCATTGTCCCTGTCATACATTTTTCAAGGACGAATAGGAAAGACCCTGCTTGTCACTGCTAGCCCGCCTGGGGCTCTTCTTCACTGGCAAGGCCACCTGCAGCTGCTTCCAGAACCTGCCCTGTGGATACTTGGATTTCTCCCCTTTCCACTTAATGACCGTGAGCACCGTCTTAGCCCTCTTCAGCTCTTTCACCTTCGTCTCCTTCACAGCTTTGTACTGTACTAAAATGACGTTGATGTTGCCCCGAGAGGCCATATTTTCTAGGCCAGCCTTGAACTCCAGGAGGGCTTGGGTTCCCTGGAGCACGTAGTTGGGGCTTAGGACAACCAGGAGGCGTCTGCTTTTCTGAATGAAGCTCAAGGTCTCATCTGTGACAACTGGGAAAGAAAACACCAGGGGGATTAGTGTCGGCCAAGAACTATCCAAAAGCATAGGGCTGGAGGAGCAAATGTAGGGGATTTCAGATGACAGCCTGAGAAATGAGGTGGGTTTTTTTGTTTTTACCAGCAACATTTTGAACAGCTTTCTCCTGCTGTCCACTAACCATCATCCTGTCCAGTAACTGCCATTTTCCTAAGGGAAAATGGAAACTGTATACAAATATTCTACTCTCCAAAGAATTTCAAACAAGCACAGCTCCAAAAGGTGCTATATTTCTCTGACCTCGGTCTTCAAAAGTATTATTTGATTCACAAGGGATGTGTTGTACTAAAATCAGTTTCTTCAAACAGTGTGGCATGTTGCAGCCTAGTCAAATTAGATTTGAACCTTTTTTCCCCCAAAGGCACCCAGCATGAAAAGCATTCATAAAGTTATATATTACAGAGTCAAAATCATAGAATTTCACTTTTTGCTAACACAGGACACGAAAAAGCAGAATCTTTACGTTTTAAAACTCCCTCTCTTTTGTTGGACAGCTCCCTGACTCAGATTGATACCTCTATGTCTTGGAATAAGAACTTCAAAAATTCTAGCCAATCAAATAATACTTCAACTAGCAAAACATTCCCAATTGAGGGTCTACATCTCTTTGCTCTAGAGATCATATTTGTTCCTACATCCTTCTCCTTATAATCCTTTTCTTACTGTGTGGAGCCATGGGTTTCAGCAGCTGCCAGCTCTGATGTGTCTGCTTTCATTAACTACCAAATACTTTCTCCACGTTAAAAAAAAAAAGAGGAAAATTAAAATGCAGAAGAATTTTATTCTGCTGTCAGGGCTTTGATTAATTCTCATCACTAAATTCTTCGGACTAATCTATCTCATTACAGATGCTTAGCAAGGACTGTACAGTCCTTTACTGGGTCAGATCTACTGCCAACTCCAGGTAATGCTGGAACTAAGAAACCTATATTAAGACTTGTCACTCCCCAAGCAGTCATTTCCATTCTTAATCTTCACAGGTACCAAAAGCTTGCATTAAAATCTAGCATGTGCAGCACAGAAGATAATCCATGAATGAGACACTGACCATGTGTTGTAGGCACGGAAAGAGACCTAGAAGCAAAGTGGATTGAGTAAGAGCATCAGGGAGACTATAAAGGGCCATCCACCAAAAGCAAGATGCAAAAGGAATTATGCAGAGCTTGAGTTACTCAAAGAACTATTAACTCTTATAGTTATGTAGGGTTTAACTTTTTGTAACACTTCACAAAGTAAATAAGCAATTGTTGAATGGCTATATGGGTGAATAAATGAATGAATAGGAGATGTGGAAAATTAAGTGTTAAAATGAGTGAAATGTATCCCTTAAGTGTATAATTTAGTCATCATTTCCGGGCAAATTTAGACTGAAGGAGATGCTTTTTCTGGATAATGACTAGAAAGGTAATGTAACTGATCCATCTAATTCAAACTGAGAATACAATTTTAAATCTTTGTCTCAATTATCACATAATGATTTTTCAAAACCATGTAAACAAATGATGAATATAAACAGGATTTTTGAGGAAGAAAATGAGCTTATCATGCTTAAGATCAGAGACAGTACATAAATTTCAAAGGTAGGTAGTTTAACAGCGGGTTTATAAATGTTACTTATCTTAAAAAGACTCAAACCATTACTTAGTGTGTCACCAGTTGGACTTGAGAACATATATTTTTGTTATAAAATATTCAGCAATTGAAGCTTTCATTTTTTAAACCTACTAGAATATACTGACCTAATAAACTTTTACATTAAATCTCCAATTAAAAATTGGTAGAAAAGAAGATGCAGGCTTAAGGAAAGGAGAAAGTGAGAAGCATTAGTTTGCTGGAAAATAAAGGAAAAGGAAATGTAAAAATGACAAAGGCAAATATTCTAATTATTTTCAGTAATGTATTCTTTTCTGCAACTCAATTTTAATACAAATGAGTAAACTTCAAGTTGTAAAAGTAACTTATTTTGTAAACTTAGTCTTTGTAAAAAAAGAAAATTCTAGGCAAAACAAAATAGATCAACTGAAGCCTAAAAATCTCAATGTGACTAAACAGAAAGCTGTGGTACTTTAATAGAGCTCTAATCTACCACATACCCACAGTTTTCTGGTAAGGAGTTCTTAAAAATTACAAGGGTAACTATTTTGAAATCATAAACCAGACTGAATAGTATACATACTATAATGAGGTTTTAATTTAAAAGAAATCTCTATTCCTTTAAAACTTGCATATTAAATATCCAAAGTTGCGAATATAAGCTATGACTCTCATATTTGGTCCAAAATTGAGGATCATCTTTGCCTTTCAGAATGGCATCTTTTGAAATACCTACTTCCCCCAGGCAGACTATCTCGATCAAAGATGCACAGCTTGTATCCAAATTCATTCTCCAAAACTCCACGGAGGGTCAGTAAGACGAATTCTTCTTCTTCAGCATTTCTTGCGTAAGACACATAAATATCATACTCCTTCCCATCTACCAAAAGGAGCACAGGTCCATTTAGATTAGGAGTTTATTAATAGTGTTACTTTTTTCTTAAATCTAATTTCTGCATATTAGACAGTTTTATTTTTTACAAGCATGAATTATGTGACAGATTCAATGTGATTTTCCACTGGTGACAGTCTCCAGGCAAAATGGCTATTTAAATTCAAATTTTATCTGATGTGTCTTTAACTGCTGACTTAATTAGCTTAGGAGCTCCCTAAGGACTTGGTAAAGCATACTTCAGGGTGTGTCATAGAAGTGTGGCTTTGAGGTCTATATCTAGGCCCTGGATCCCTCATTGCTCTGGGGGCTCTTCTTTCTGGCCACCTGGAAGCCAGCAGCTTTGCTCCACCATTCCCCTCCACCGTGATGTTCCTACCTTAAAGATAGTCAAACATGAACTGAATCCTCTGAAACCATGAGCCTAATTAAACCTCTTTTCCTTTAAGTTGTGGTTGTCAGGTATTTTGTACCAGTAAGATGAAAGCTGACTTATACAGTCTCCTAATCTAATCTCATTTAGTTGAGTCTATAGTGGAGAATGAGTGAGGTTTGGTGCATTCAACTGTGAATAACAGAACAAGGATGTAAACTGTATGTGCTAGCATTTAATGCCATGCAAAAAATTCCTACTCCCTATCATAGTATATCATTCAACACTATATTAAAATTAAAAATCGAGTAAGACTTTTTGACAGTATTTAAATTATACATGAAATGGGCCAGGGATTTAGTTCAGTGGTTGCGCCACCTGCCTTACAAGTGCAAGGACCTGAGTTGGATCCCCAGTACCAAAAAAAAAAGAGACTAAATTATACATGAAAAGAACTACAGTTAAAATATACTTATATCCAATGGAATAATCTTTCCCCAAATTGCCTAATTATAGAAGTCACAAGTCACTGGAAATACAGATTATGTGCCTGTTCCAAAAGCCTACTGCATTAGAATCCTTATGGGATAGACCTAAGAATCTGTATATTAAAAAAATGCTTCTTTCCCATTGAAAGGCATTCTTTTTTCACTAGATCACTGTTTCTTAAACTTTAATGTGCACATGAATCATCTGGAATATGGCTAAAATATAGGTTCTGATTTAGTAGGGGTTAGATCTAAAATTTTCCCTCTGTTATCAGATGATGCAGATGCTTCTGTTTGATGGATCACTCTTGAATATAAATAGTGTGAACTTGCACCATACAATACAGATACCATAAAGCATGTGACTATTGAAGACCTGAAATAGAGCTAGTGTAAACTGAGACGTACTATAAGTATACAATAGAATGTATTCTACATTTTGAGTATTTTCATGCCAAAAGGAATGTAAAATGTCTCTTATTAAATTTTTAATCTCAATTACATGTTGAAATTACAATATGAATACACAATCAAATCAGTACTCTCATTTGTTTCTTTTTACTTTTTCTAATGTGGGCATTAGAAACACATGGTATCTTAGTTACCTTTCCTGACTGCTGAGACAAAATACCTGACACTCAAAGTTAAAGGAGGAAAGGTTTATTTTGGCTCACAATTTGTAGAGGTTTCAGTCCATAATTGGCTGACTCCAAGGCATGGTGGCATGGCAGAGGGGCATCACAGAGGAGAAACAGTTCATGGCAGGCAGAAGGCAGCAAAGGCATCCAAGCAGCAAGCAACAAGTGACAAGCCACAACAATAGCCATTTTTTCCCTTATATCTTACCCAGGCTACTCACACCCTGAATCCTAGCATCACACCTTGAATCAATCCCAGCATCACATCCTTGATCCCAGCAGCACAAACTCTAGATCCAGCCACCTCTGAAAATCCCCATCTATGACCACATGAGGCTTTGAGGGGACATCTAGAAACAAGCCTTAACATATGGCTTGCATTTTATTTTCCATTTGGACAATGCAAATCTAGATTAAATGACACACCAATGTACAAAAAGATGACAATATACATTGGAAAGATTTTGGATAATAAAGGTTGAACTGAATTTTCTAGTTAATCTAGGTTTTATCAAGTGAATATTTTCTAAGGACAATAGAGGAGATTTACATTAAACTCCCATTCCTTACCTAGAATGGTTTCATCTGTTCCAAAATGAGCCCGATAAAAGAGAACCATCTCCAGCCAGTAAACGTGGTAAACAACAATAAGAATTACCACCAGCAGGACTGTAGCTCCAAAACCACATGCCAATTCCACTGTGTATCTTGGTGCTACCAAAAGAAATAATAAAACAGCAAAACCAAATTAATTTCCATTCAGTGATCATGTTGACACATCACCCTATAATAACTGGAAAAGCCAAGTGGCTGAATCATGAAACTGACCTCTGTGTATAAACAAACAGTTAACATGGTAGAGTTTAGGGTCTATTTTTTAATATTAGGTTGTGTCATATTTACTCATGTGTGCATGTGTGTGTGTGTGTGTGTGTGTGTGTGTGTGTCTAGCACCTGTCATGGGATGAGATTTATAGACTTTGATGATACACAAATTTAAGTAAAATCTTAATATTGGGAAGGATTTAGAAGGATGGCTAATTCAATGCACAATTTGTTACCTAAATCTTCTTAAAACTATTTTTGAATAGTATCATTCCATTCTATGATTGACCATCTATTGGGATGGGGTTCCAAAAGTTCTACCTGGAGAATCTCATCATATTGGCAGAATTTTAATTGTTGGAGCAGCTGACTTGAGTAAAATTTTTAGTGAGTTTCCATTAATTGTAGTTTGTGTAGTGTCATATGGAAGGAATTTAATTTATTTTTCTTTATTTTCTCTGGGCAGAAATGGGGGGCATCCATCAAATGCTGAGCATGCTTGGCTCTGGAAGGATCCCCCATGTTGACAGTTCTAAGATACACATTCAAAAGACTGACTTGTAGAACCTTGCTATGCACACATTTCCATATATAACTGCTTATTTTCAAATCAAAGACATCTTAGCAGATTTTTTTAACTATCAGAAAGAACAAAGTAATTTTGATTTAACTGAAAACTAGATATTAAGTCATTATCCCTGTAAGAAATCCCATTACAACCAAATCATGGGCCACTTTCCTGTCTTACTTACCTTTAGATTTTCCTTTAAAACATCTGGAATATTTAATATCAAGCCTTTGCTCTGCTATGATTCTGGCTGGAATAGTCCTATCCTTTCTTTTTTTAGTTTTCAAGTTCATGTTCAAATATCATTACTTTGTATGAGGTATCATAGAACAAAATTTTGTAACTTGAGCTCTGCCAGTAGAAATTCCCATTCCTCTTGTTTATAATTTTATTAAATCATTGCTCGTACACTGTAATTTGTCTGCAGGCCTGCTTTTCCACCTGCTAACTCTCCACTAAATTATTCATAGTCTTCCAAGTGGAGACTTTTCATTCATGCTACCCTTAGAACATGCAGTATTTCAAATTAACATTTCCAGATATAAAACTTTGCACTACTGGTATGTTAAAAGAAGCCTAGGCATGATTAGGCATCAGAAACTTCTGGTTATTATATCAGCTGTAGTAACAAAATTTATGAGTTTCAAGATAAAACACAAGATTTGCTGGATCTGAAGCAGGAGTGACTCACATTAGGTATAAATTGATTTGATAATTACTTATTGACATTTGTTATTTTCTACAATGGTGGATACAACAGAAATGGTGTCTGAACTTTGGAAGTTAACATTACAACGCAGGGATGTAAGTAAATAAGGCCATAAATATGTTAATTTTAAGTAGCGATGAATGTTAAAAATAGAGGTAATGTGGGAGAGGTGACTGAAGGACAAGGTTTCCCCAGGGGATGGACCTTAGTTAAGGTGGTCTGAGCACCTGGAACAGCGTAGATGCTGTGTCTGCTAAGACAAGTCATGGAAGGTTCTTATTCAAAGCTGGGATAGCTGCTGAGACTCTCCAAAGTGCAGGGATCTTTTCACAATATGTTTTAAAGTTTAATTATATACTAGTGGGGAAAAACATGTCCTTTAGAAGATAATTTATTGTAGAGAAAACAGTAAACAGCCCAGAGCTGAGCCTGACCATCTCTGAACAAAGGGCAAACTACAGGGTTTTCAGTTCATTATCCCAGACCCAGGATATTAATCCTACCCCGGATATAGCCTGAGACGTAGCAGTGCAAAATTTTTGGGTACTCTTGTATTTGTTCCAGGAGAAATGGTCCTTCAACATAAGAAGACTCCATCACATGCTCCCAGAACCAATATCAGTGTAGTTATTGAGAATTTACTAAGATCAATTCAGGCAGCTGACATAAAAATCATTGTGTCTCCGGAATTTCTGAGTACCTAGTATGTTAACAGCACACTGGGCTAATCCTGCTGTTATTTTCATTATCTGCTCAGTTTGGGCTGTCTCTGAATGGACACTTTGTCCATCTGCACAAAATCAGGCAAGGGCTAAGAAAGGTCCTTGGCTAGACTTACCTGAAATGGGCTTTTTCTAAATGTCAATCGACATCTTCCTTAATGACCAGGAGATAGATTACCCTTATAAATCTCCCTCTGCCACATTCATTTTACTACTTCCTATTTCATTTCCAATGGGGCTTTTATATTATGTGTCAGATACAGAATGTATTTTGTGTAGCCATCTTGATATTAAGGAGTCTCAAGTGCTATTTAACTTCCTGGACTCTTAAGATAAATGATACTCCAGTATGATTCTTCCACATGCTTGAACCATATGCAAAAAGGGCTGCACAAAGCTTGCAGGTGTAGCTTCCAGGGAATGGTGTCCCTCAGCCTACATTCTCTGTCTTCCCTGACTGGAACCTCTGGCCTTCTGGCGTAATGATTTTACCTTGATGTAATACCAGACCAAAGGGTTTCCAACTGAAGACAAGTGCAGCACTTTGACCAAAATGGACTCCCTCCATCCTTCTTCCATTAGTTTCACTACAAATCTAATTTAGGATATAGCCAAATGGAGGCACATGCTTGCTTTTACTCCTTGAGTTAGAATTTCCTCCATTTCTTCTGCAGTTCCATAGTAAAATTTGTCTCCAGATTATAAACTTCAAACTTTTCAACACTTCATGTCTAATTTCTACCTCACTTTGCGTTCTAGTTCTACACCCATCTGCCTCCTTGGAGATCTCAGTTATTCATCTTCACTGTAGCAATTAGAATCTTGTTAGGTATTGAGTCTTCCAACCAAATGCCAGTTGCTTGGACTTTAAAGTGTTCCCTGCCACAGAACCTGGGGCTACTCAGTGCTACATTGTGGGCACTTCCTTATGATTTTTGAAACTGCAGCAATGACCGTTTTTTTGAATTTTAAACAAAGAGTACACATTATTTAAATGCTGGTTAACAAGAGAGCTAGGACTCAAATTGACTTGCAGACTTGGTTGAATTGGCTACAGTATGTTACAACTTACACGATGCAGACTTCAGTTTTTGTCCATAGAAGAGAAAGTGATATTGGATTAGCCTTCTTTCTATAATTTCTAAAATAAGGGCTTTTCTTAAATTGGACAAATGATATAGCATATGAGTGTGATTTTTTGAGGGGAAAAACACACAAAATGATTAGCCCCACAATCACTCTGGCTTTTTGCCTGAAGACACTTTTTTGGGTTATGACACAGAAAGGGGAAAGCCAAAAGAAGACAGTGGCTGCACTGAGGTAAGGAGAGAAAAATCAGAGTCCAACGCTATTGTGTTAAACTGAATTCATTGGCCTGGGTATCACAGAGAAAAGAACTGTATACAAAAGCAACTCTAGAAATGTACATGGGTTATCATGACTCTTTTGGGCAAGTGCAAATCTGTGCTAATTTAGGGCGATACTCTCCAAGGTCAGGCAGAGAGTAACAC